TTTATGCTCTCTGCTCTATCTCATTCCTGGTTGTTTGTCTCGTTACTAATAATTTTAAAATTATTCCATCATTTGGGACCCTCGGTCTGCAACAATGGGTAACACTGAGAAGAATTGAAGAAATTCAGAATGCTTAATTGTGCTCATGTGAAACCTAGACATAGACTAAGAAGCAGTTGATTGAACAGAACAAGGGAATATTAAATGGTTTAAAATCAGGGAAGGTGTGTGACAGATTTGTATCTCTTTTACATGCCTATTCAATATATGTATATATATATATATGCTGAGCAAATAATCTGTGAAGCCTGACTACGTGAAGAAGAATGTAGCACAAAGATTGGAGGAAAACTCATCAACAGCCTACATTATTTAGACACAACCTTATGTGCTGAAAGCAAAGAACACTTGACAAATTTAGCATCACTATGAGTCGCAGGTGACTCGACGGCACATAACAACAACAACAAAAGACTGCAGCCTTACTATGGATTACATTGCAACCTCAAGAAAACAAAAATTTTTATAACTGTAACAATAGACAATATCATGATAAGTAGGGAAAACATTGAAGTTGTCAATTATTTAATTTTACTTGGATCCACAATCAACATGTATGGAAGAGGCAGTTAAGAAATCAAAAGACATGTTTGTTGCATTGGGAAAACCTGTTGTCAAGAATCTCTGAAAGATTGGGTCATGTCTGACCCAAGCCACAATATTTTTCAATTGCTTCCTCATGGAATAGAAAATTGGACAATGAATAAGGAAGACCAAAGACCTGATACCTTTGAACTGTGGTGCTGATGAAGAGTAGATGTATTAGATACACCTCAAACAGCCAAAAGAACCAACAAATCTGTCTTGGAAGATGTGTAATCATGGTGCTCCTTAGAATCAAGAAGATGCAGCTTTGTCTCACGTACCTTGGGCATGTTGTCAGGAGGAGAAAGTCCTTGGGAAAAGACATCATGCAGGGAAAGGTAGAGGATGAACAAAAAAGGAAGCCCCTTAATGAGATGAATCGACACAATGACAGCAACAGGGGACTTGAACATGGCAGAAACCACGAGAATGGCATGCAATAGGACAAAGTTTAGTAGATCAAGGTTTCATGAGTCAATAGAAGTTCATTAGTCAACTCAAAGGCACCTAACAAAACATTATAGGTTTGTATGTATGTATGTATAAATACACAGACACACACATATCACTTTCTCTCTAAAAGCAAGTTCTGGTGGCAGAGTCCCTAGGAAGTTGTGTTACTAACCTAAAGTGGGCAACTCTCTGGTGATTCAAATCCATCAGCTGCTCCTCAGGAGAAAGATGGGTAGTCTCCTTTCATGCAGTTTATTGGCTCAGAAAACCCAACATCAACTAGTGAGTGAGTGATAGCTCTAGAGCTCTGTATCTATAACTATGTTGTTTGTGTACCACAGTCAGATTACACCCATAGTTGATCCTCTAGCAGGTTTTCAGAGGCAATTAATTGCAAGGGAAGAGATTGCCCAACTTTCTCCCACAGAGCAGCTGGTGGCCTTGAACCATGTGCCTTAGGGATTGTAGCATAGCTTCTTGCTACTAGACCACCAGAGCTCCTTATATGTTTGTTTCAGAACCTGGGTGGCACAGTGCTTAAATCACTTGGCCATTCAAATGCAGCAGCCTCTCAGAGAAGAAATGAAATCCTATGAGACACTTCTACTCTTTCGTATAGGGTCATTACTAGTTGGAAGTGACTTAATGGTAATAGATTTGCGGTTTTGGTTTCAATATCTTTGTGTGTGTGTGTGTGTGTGTGTGTGTGTGTGTGTGTGTGTGTGTGTGTGTCTTTATATATATGTTGTTAAGTACCATCAAATTAGAACTGATCCATAACTCCAGTGAGTCAATTGAAATTCCAATTGGAAGCTGGAGTGCAGTGCAGCTTCTTACCACTAGGCAATCTATCTCAAATATCCTTATATATACCTGCCTCCATGCCTTCTTTCATGGTTAAATATCTATGGTTGTGTAGTATATTATATGTTGGGATATATGTGCTTCATTAACCATGCAAAGGCATTTGTGTGTGTGGATCACAATAAACTGTGGCTGACTCTGAAAAGAATGGGAACCCCAGAATATTTGATTGTGCTTCTGCAAAACCTATATTTGGATCAGGAGGCAGTCATCAGAACAGAGCAATGAAACATCGCATAGCTCAAAATCAGGAAGGGTGTATGCTATGAATGTGTCCTATCTCCATACTTTTTCAACCTATATCCAGGACAGATTATCTGGGAAGCTGGGCTCTATGAGGTAGAATGTGGCATCAGGATGGGAGGAAGGCTCAACAATCTGTGTTATGCAGATGACACACCCTGCTTGCTGAAACTGAGGAGGACCTGAAGCACTTGCTGCAGAGGGTCAAGGACTGTATCCTTAAATAGGGATTGAAGCTCAATATCAAGAAAACAAAGATTCTCACCACCGGGCCAATTGGCAGCATCATGATAGAAGGTGAAGAGATTAAGATTGTTAACAGCTTTTGTTTGCTTGGCTCCACAACCAACACTCTTGGACCAGCAGCCAGGAAGTCAAAAGACAATTGCAGTGGGGGGAGGGGGAAAAGTCTGTTGTAAGGGACCTCTCCAGAGTACTTCACAATTACTTGCTTTGCATCAGAAAGCCAGACAGTAACTAGAGATGATAGAAGGAGAATTTATAACTATGAGCTGTGGTGCTGGAGAAGAGTATCGAATATACCATGGACTGCTAGGAGAACAAACAGGTTCATTCCAGAGAGGGTGAAAACAGGCTGCTCTTTACAGGTAAAGATTCTGAGGCTTCATCTGACACACTTTGGACATGTTGCAAGAAGGGACCAGTCCTTGAAAAGGGACGTCATGCTTGAAAAGGTGGAGGAACAGCGTGAGAAAGGAAGACTCTCAGTGAGATGGATTGATTCAGCGAGTGGGGTAATGAGGGTAGGTGTGTCAGAGACAATAAGGTTGGCATGGGGTAGAGCAGGGCTACTGTACATAGGGTAACTGAGTGGCAAGTGACTCAACCTGTCACTCAACAGGAGAAAGATACAGCAGTCTGCTCCTATTAAGATGTATAGTAGCTAAGAGAATACGCCATCCCCTTTTCCTTATGAATCAGGGTGAAGTCTCTCTCAGGGAGGAGTGATAGGGAATGG